AAATGGAATTTAGAATGAGTTGACTAACATCGCTACATTTTCTCTTTCTTAATATGATAACCACCTGGAAAACAACATGAACTTCTCTAGATCTCAGAGTTCAACGTTTTTAGATTTCACATGTAAGAGAAATCATAGGACAATTGTCTTTCTATTCCTAGGCCCTGAGTTGAAAATCAGGCCTCGCTTCTTAAAAATAGTCTTGTGAAAAAAAGTTTACAAACATTATTTTGGAGCAGAAAAATACCAAAGCTGAAACCTCAGCAAGAACTCAGAGCCTTAAACCCATGTGCCTAACTCATTCACTTTCTCACTATGGTTTGATTACTCAGGATCTCTGCCTTCAGAAACCAAACATGTTGATGTTTCTCTTGCATTTCTCATATTTTCATGGCGTCACAGAGTACAGAGATGAGGAAATACATAACGCTGTGTGACTAGACCAAAGAAAAGCATGTTGGTAATTAATAGAACCCTAAGTTCATTCCAGTTTTGCTGGTTTACCCTAGTCCATGCCTTATCATGGCCTATTGTAAGCTTGCCTACAAAGCTGGGCTGTAGACATATATTAACCCAATTTGTAATCAGCTTTTCTAATGTACAAGTCTGGCTTTACAAAACATGCAGAGTATCATACTAAATTCACCATCATCTTCACCAAGTCGGGACATGAACCAGTTGTCTGATGGATTTTTCCCCTAAATGCCAATAGATGGAGGGGGGAGGAGCTTGACATGCTTGTGCAGCAGCTAAAATTAAGAAAGGAGCTATGATTGAGACAAGAAACAACTTACTTCTATAGAGAAAAAAAAAGGTACAGATAATCAGTCTTACAATCTCCACCATCTTTCTAATGTGGGCTCAACTATTCATACTGTCATTTCCAAAAAAAAAAAAAAAAGTAGACAAGAAAATTGATTCCTGTTTTGGAACCAGAGATATTTAATTGGAGGTAACTGGAGAACTGAATTGGAGATATTTAGTTTGAGTTAGAAGAAGTCTAACTATATAAAAACCTAAAAATATTTTATCCTAATTAGGTAATTAAGTGTTTCTTTACTACTTTTAAGAATATATACATACATGCCCCATGACCAACAAAAACCAAAAAGTATACATGTAACCAAAAGCGTAAGAAACTATATCCTAAGGTATTTACAAATGATTCTTTCATAGTAAGAGTTATGAATGTGTTCATGTGTAGAAAAAATAGAGATAAGCAGTCATTTAAGAAATGTTTTATAATAATAAATTATAAAAATAATTACAAATTAAATAAATAACAAAATTGTAGTGATCTCAACACATTTAGCAAATGTACTCCCTATAACATAATAAATAAAAACTATCATGAAAGTAGAGGTTTGGCTTGAGTTGAAAAAGCTAAGGAAGAGTTCAAGGCCCTGATTTCAAGTCCCAGTAATAGCACAATAAATAATTAATTAAAGTTAGTTAAATAAAATTTATCAAATGAAAATTCCATAGCAATAGAAACAGGTTTGTACTACATGAAAAATGACAAATAGTAGAGTGCAAATAGCAGTGATTAAGTATTGTGTGTGTGTGTGTGTGTGTGTGTGTGTGTGTGTGTGTGTGTGTGTGTGTGTAGTTAAGGCTATAAATAAAAATGTTCCTATTAAAGAGACTAATGAGTGGTTATTTTTCCAATATTAACTTTGAAAAAATTATTTTTATATTTATCTACTTAAAAGAGTTTAAATTGATTCAATGTTCTAAATTTGGTTTGAATTGTTTTTGATCATAGAGATTTGATTTTAAATTAAATCCTTTTATTATGTCATTTTATTACTTTTTAATCAAAAGTAATTCGCAAATATTATAAACCATGTGCTCAGTAAGGGACTTTTCAGACCCAAGATAATTCACCAAAAGTCCTCAGGCTAGCAGTGGTTTTCAAGTGGGGATTTCCTTATTCAGGTTTCTGAACATCTCAGAATATGAAGATTCTCTCCAACTGACAATTGTACAACAGCCACCTACCTCCCCTCAAACTATTCCCTATCCTTTAGAGAGATTCCTGTGAAATTCTAAGTATTTAGGACTAAATTGTGTGAACACTGTCCTGAAGAAACTTTCTCAGAGTCAGTGTCCAAAATCCTGCTTCTTTGTGTGTGTATCTGCTTTTCTCACCCTCTAAATTCCATGCAAAGACTTTATTTTCCTCAATTAAGCTTAAATCTGCCTCTGAGGGTGATAACTGTATTTCAGTAGAAGACTTTCCACTTGTGTAACTGGTAATGGGGGGGGGGGCGCTGATGGTCCCCAATACCAGTTTAATATTTGCCTCATGATCTTGACATCATTTAGAAACGAGTTTTTGTACCTTGAGTGTTAATGTTTTGATTTACATTTTATCATTTTATTGTAGACATAAAACATTTCCAATCCTTGGGAATGTAAGTAAAGTCCATTCAAAATTAAAATAGAGGATTAAAAGGTCTATTACAAGTGATTGGTAGAGCACCTGCCTAGCAAGCATGAAGTCCTAAGTTCAAACCCTAGTAACACCAAAAATAATATAAAAGAATGAAACAGAAACCTCATCTAAAGTTTCTAAGGTCATGTTAAGGAAAATTATTAAATTATACAGGAACTAATTGTTCTCTATACCCCAAACTATTCTGTATGATTACTTGTAACTGCTTCTTTCCTTTTGAAATAACTGCTTGAAGAAATGTGACAGAAGAAATTGCCTGCCTAGTGATTGCTTGAATTTTTAAAAAGTACAAGTGAAAGCTGCAAGGTTAATTTATAATTTCATAAAACAAACACACATGCAAACAAACCACCCAGAAATATCCACAGGTATAAAATTTGATTCTTGCTGTCTCCTCTAGAAATTTGTGAGCATATGAGGATTTCAGATTTATTTGTGAATATCACTTAAAACAGCACTTTTCAAAAAGAGGGAGGAAAAAAAAACTAGCTCTAAGAGAGTAGCAAAAAGGAAGTACAGCAAAGGAGATGTATTATATCTAGATAGTACTAGAGACCAGAAGACTAAGGGAAGAGAAAGAGAAAAAGAAAATAAAGCAGTTGTTCCGTCAGCTACTTAAAACTTGTTTTTGTGTTTCATGACATTCGTACTAGGTTTTTATTTTATTCATCGCTACTATTGAGGACACATGAGGTGGGGGGAGTGGGACACAAAACCAGCAAGCATTCCCTGGAGACACTTAGGGGACACACAATATGCAAACTTCTTTAAAGATAGAGGCATGATGTTGGGCAAGTGGTGGATTTGAGCTAAGTTCTGTGGAAAATAAAATTTAATCATGTTAGATGAGCGGAAGTGGAAGATATACTCTAAAATGCAAACCGTGACTATCTGGGAGATAAGATTATTTGTGATATTTGCATTTTTAGTCACCTGCACTTGTAACATTAATTAATACACTTTTCATCTTCTAGGTCATATAGCATCAATAAATATAATATTTTTATTTGCATACACAAATGGATGTATCTATGCATTTTTTGTTGTTGTTGTTGGTCATGGGGCCTGGACTCTGGGCCTGGCACTGTCCTTCAGCTCTTCAGCTCAAGGCTAGCGCTCTACCACTTGAGCCACAGCGCCATTTCTGGCTTTTTCTGCTTACGTGGTGCTGAGGAATCGAACCCAGAGCCTCATGCACGCGAGGCAAGCACTCTACTACTGAGCCACCTTCCCAGCTCGATCTATGCATATTTTTAGAAGCTCAGTTTCCTTGCTGTTTTAAGAGGGTACTCTGGTGAATGTTAATGCCTCAAGGAGCCTAACATCGAACGTTATTTCTTAAAGACCAAGAGAGACTTTCCCTACTCACCCCCCCCCCCCCCACACACACACCTCTATCATTAAAAGGTCCCTGACAGCACAGCCTTTGCCTTTCTAATCTTAAATGTATTCTGGAAATCAGATGCAACCAGCCAACTGCTGAGGGGCCTGGTAATCAGATGAGACTTCAAGCCCAGCTCTGCCACTTGCTGTCTGTGTGACCTGTTAGAATGACTGAGGCCCGCTAAACCCATTTCACGCGCAGGAAAATGAACAGGATGTCTTCAGCACGACAGGCTGCCATGAAAACTGACTTGGGCGAACTCGTCATCCATGCCTAGGACTTAGATGGAGTTCTAAGAATGAACCTCGTGGGGATAAGTCCCTTTGATTAGCCAACCATCTAGCTGGCATTTCAGAGCCAGGGACTCTCCAAGAGGCTTTGGGTGGGAGCTGGTGACCAGGCCTCCTGCCCAGCGTTCTGGGACTTTGTAGAGCGCAAGCTAAGAAAGAGAAAGAGAAAGGGGGGGGGAGGGGCAGACAGGAGCACTACACACCCCTCTGTGCAGCCTGAAGGAGAGGAATTCCCTGAAAGGAAACAAAATAGTTTCGTTTTCTGCGTGGCCTGGAGAAGGTAAACAAGGCTGGCGAGTCACCCAACATGACTGCCCCCCCCCCAAAAATAGAAAAGCTTGCTCTTGAAGACTCAGGGGTAACCATGGCCGGGAGCAGGCTTACTCCCCAAGTTACTTCCATCGTTTCTCTCCGCACTTGGGAGTCGGGAGCACACACGTCACCGGATCTTTGGCTAAGCAAGAGTTCATAATCTCCACCTCTTCCCCGACCGGGTCCCCTCCAGACACCCCAAAGCTAGCCAGGCCCCCGTTCCAGGCTCCGCCTGCTCCCCACGGACGCCTCCTTTCCTCGCGTGGATCAAAAGCGCGGGTGTAGCTCCACCTGCCCGGTGGCGAGCTCAGGACAAGCCATTAAGCTCCGAGCAAAGCGAGTTCCCCGGCTCCCAGAACACCGGGAGACAGGAAAAGTCGCACCCGTCCCCCATCCTCCACTCAGTCTGTCAGAGGCAGGCCACGGCTGGCCTGGGGCACCCCCAGATTTCCACGCACTCAACCCAAACCCCTGAGCGCGTCCCGCGCGCCTCCCCGACGGCGCCCGCCCCGGCGCGAGGCGGAGAGAAGCCCCACGTGAATAGCGGAGGGCTCACCAAAAGTGGGAGAGTCCAGATGCAGGGCATGGCTGGAGAATGAATGACCGCGGGGAAAGCGCCCCGAGACACCCAACCTCGGTCGGAGTGACCTTCCTGCCGGCCCGGGACCTCCGGGTGTGGTCTCTGCCGGGGCCCGCCCTCTGCGCGCCAGCCGCGGTGCTCGCGGAACCACTTCCCTTTCCCAGAAGCGTCAGTGAATACCTGGGTGCAGCTCTTCGGAGAGATCAGACAGGACCCAAGAAAAAGCCCCTGGTGTGGGGAGGAAGCGTGGCTGGAGGTGGGGCGGGGGATGGCCCGGGGGATGGCCCGGGGGATGGGGCGCTAGCTCCACTGATTCAGCAACTAGCCCTGCGCAGGGGCGGGCAGGGGGAGGCCAGCGGGCGTGCGCAGGGAGCCAGGGCTTATTGCACAAGTGGGCATTTCCCTTGCTGGGGCTTGTCCGCAGGGGCTGGTAAAACTCAGATCAAGGAAGAATCCTAAATGCCCAATTACTCTCCCTTAATTTCTACTGTTCCCAACTGGGAAGGTTGGGGAGGGGCTTGAACCTGACCTGGCAGACACTCAGAGCCAGCACAAGTCCAGTACAGGACAGTCACAGAGAGGCCCCGGGGGTAGGAGGGGGGAGGGGGAAGGGACAGGGAAAGGGAGGCCTTGAACGGTACACGGTCTAAGTGACAATGATATGAAAAGCTACACAAATTCTACTGTGGGATTCTGAGGAGGGATCTAGGCCTCCTGAGTAGCTAGGATTACAGGCCTGAGCCAACTGTGCCTGGCTCCGCGCTTGTATTTCTTAACAGAAGAGAACTGCTTATGGCAAAATCACCCAGCCCTAGCATTGTTAAACCTTCACAATTACTTCCTTTCCTTTGTTACTCATTATTTCCTGTCCACAGCTCTTCAGAAAAGAAAAAAAGTACAACACAGAGCAACAAGTCGTAATTCTTTAAGGCTGTGGTTAACATTGCTCATACTCATTGCTTTTTGGAAGAGCAGAAAGCTCTTTGGGATTTGGCTGGTGTTACAGAGGGAAGAGTGGATAACATCATTTAATAGCCTCAGTCTGGAAGTCATCTTCCAAGTGGACCCATCACGGCTGCTGGGTATTTCTTTGCATCCTTTCAGGAAGGATGCAAGCACTTCACTTCTCCCTGCAAGCTGAGCTCATCTCATTGAAGCACCCCATGCCCCACTCAGACAGCCTTCATCTTCAGCCATTTGTTTTGACATTTGCTTTTGAAAGCCGGGTCCCTCAATCTGGATCAGGCCATTGTCATAAATATTTTCACTCAGCTTGAGGTTCCCATCTGTCACTGCACTGATCTCAGTCTTGTGGCTATTGGTTTGCTTGTTTCTGCTTGTTAGGGTCATGAAGAAGTCCCTGGTTGTGTCAACCTGGCTTGCCTGTGACTGTACCAGACACATGAAGAAAGGTGAGTAGAAGTGGGAGGATTAAACATGAGAATCCTTTTTATTGTCTTTGTAAATTGTAAATCTAGAGCTATTCTGAAAAGAAAAATTCCAATTTTTAATGAATGCATTGTTATTTGTTCAAGGAATAGGGGATTGTTGAACATTTAAGTTGTTTCCAACCAATTTTTCATACATATTTTTATTAGCATCAATTAGTTGTACAGGAGGGTTTCATTTTGACTTGTGCATACCCACATGCAGCAAGATTTTCTGAATTTTATAAAGTATCACAAAAAGAGAGAAGGAAAAGAGGACGGAAGGGGAAGAATGGAGGGAGGGGACAATGGACAGAATTAACAACTCCTGGCTGAATTATGAGGCAGTAACTTTTGCAAATGATCCCTCCTTAGATAATATTTTTCATTCTGGTGATGTGAGTGATTATAACCTTATTTTACAAATAAAGAGTTATAGATTAAAAATCACACAAATATTGGCAAAGTTGATTAGATAAGGAAACTCAAGTTTTGCTTAGGCTAAATTCTTAGAATTAAAGGTACCTTATCTGATGTATTATCAGAGCTTATGATCAGCATAAGAAATCTTTTGCTACAAATATTAATTGCTACAGATTAGCTATTCTGTTTTCAAGCTCAAGTAAGGATAACTAAATATGCTATCCTATAAAATGGCCTAAAATCTAGGGAAAGCCATGACTTCTACAGAAGATTTCTTTTCTGCCACTAGAGCGCACCAGAACCCTCACATCAGGCTCAACTTCCATTTGGCCAACTGACAAATGGACTTTTCTATCAACTAATAAAAATGTATTTTTGTTCTTGGGAAAGGAAGAGAAATAGACATTGGATTTTATAGGCAATCTGAATCCTGATCATGAGGGCCGTTTTATCTCCCAGAGAAAATATTATTTCTTATAGGTTTAAGGAAATGATGTTTACATAGTAAATGATGTTTACATCATTTAAGGAAATGTTTACAATATTCAGTACACTCAATAAATGTTAGTTCCTACTGTGATAATTCTCTTTCTAAAAGAGTATGACCCAAGTGGTAGACTGCTAGCTTTGAGCAGAAAAACTCAGTGAGCATGCAAGGATGAATTCAAATTATTTTGTGCATTAGCACAAAATAAATAACACAAAGAAATAGTATTAATATTTTAATCAATCTACTTTGTTTCTTCAGGAATTTTTTAAAGAGTTAAAAAATTATATTATTTCCATAAATGGGAAAAATCAACATTTCTTGCTAAAAATAGAAGTCATTCATAAAAATAAATCCATAATGTTTAAATAAAGTATTTGCCTTCAAACGATTAACCAGTCTACCACTAGTAAGGGCATTCTAGCATTTACATTTGAAGGTAAAACTTTTGACATGTAAACTTTGAGGGGGACACATTCAAACCATTGCAAGAATTTAAATGACTAGTTCAGGCTTCTCGTTACCATTATTGTCTACTGTTGCTTCTGATAAGATTTGAATTTAAGAAGATCTTACTGTCTCTCTGTCTCCCTGTCTCCCTGTCTGCCTGTCTATTGTCAATCTCATTCTCTCCATATATGACTTGGCTACTTAGACAGACCTAATGGTTTCATAACTGAATGCAAGGACAAACCCTCAGAGATCAAGAGAAGTTTAAATCAGGTCTTGAATCAACATGTGAGTTTTGAAGTACATTTTATTGGGAAAATGGAGGAGAACGGAAAAGGAATTGGCCGGACTGGATCCTCAACAGGCAGGACTGTTTATTGTTCAATAAGGAACAGTGAGAGGCACAGAGAGGTTGTGCGAGGGGTTGGAACAGGAGCTGGGTTTTTATAGGAGGTCCGAGCAAGGAGGCAGGGTTAATAAAAAAGCCACTAGGTCAAGGAGGTGGGCTTTTCAGTTGGGCCCACAATGGGATGTTACAGCTGGGCTTAGGTAGATTGCCCTGCCAGCACATCAAACAAGTTCGCACATACCAGGGATTTTGCCTGGTGTCTGCATGGACCTGGAACAGTGCTGGGGGGGGGGGGGGGGGGCGGGGGGAAGCAGGGGGTGTCAATCCTTCATATTCCATCTTTAGATACATAAAAGGATCAGGCCAAGAGGGCAGAGGCAAGCTCTTCATATTTAGTATATTAAATAAAAAAAACACCACAAATATGGAGACTTGTTTCTATTTGGCATATTGATGCTTTTAACACTTTTAACTTCAATGCAAAATCATATTTGTGACTTCTGCCATGGAGTCATAATGTTATTAGGTCACTGGATATATGACACTAGTGTCCTAGTATATAGGCTCTTGGAAGATTCAAGGTCTAGGCCATTTCTTCCTATTCCTGATAGTATCTCTTAGGCAGAAACAATGGACAGATGCCTTTGAGACCATGAAATTAACATCTCCTAATTAAAACCAGACTCTCTTGTCTACAATAGCCCTGGGAGTTGAGTACCAGCTTTAGCTTGAGTCCTGCCAGTGCTGACTCTTACATTCCCTAAAGCCACTTATTTTACTTTAGAAGACCTTCTAGAACCTAGAAATTTCTCCTTGGTGCAAGGAACACTACTTATAAACAGAATTGGAATTGTTCCATAAAAACTGAGTAATAACAACCTGCCAACACTGTGGAAGAGGCATTTTTACTATCTGAAACTTTCCCACAACCACACACAATCCAACACCTTGAGATTTTCATCCAGCAGTCTTAGGTTTTTTTTTTGGTTTTTTTTTTTTTTTTTCATCCAGACGAGAATTATGACTAGGAAGCCTGGCTCCCTGATCGTAGTGAACTCAGGAGGGAATTGACATTTTTATAGCAGCTTCCACACTGAGTAACGAGACTAGGAGGGCATTCCTTTAGTTGGCAAGTAATCCAATGGATTTGTCAAGTATGTTTTTCACAAATGTCTTCAGATTTATTTTTATTTAAACAATGGAAACCTGTTAAGATGGGGAGTTTAATGAGTAAAGAATTACAGATATAACTCATAGCTTATAGAGTGGCATGAGTGGGTGTGTTTGCTTAGCATACCCATCAACTCATCCAACTTTCACAGTCTCTCGGGAAGTAGGTCCCATTATAATCGTAGTTTACAGATGAGCAAGCTATAGTACCTTGTCCAATGTTATATAACTAGATGGATTTATAGTACCTTGTCCAAAGTTATACAATAACTAGATGGATTTCAGAGGTGAATTTCTAAAGTCTATATTGAAGTCACTTCCTCTTCACAACATCGGCCTTCCCTGCACCAGAATTACAAAACTCAGTTGTTTTGTTTTTCTCTTGAATACATAGTTCTTTCATGAGTAATAACATACTTTCACCATAGCCTTAAATTCCTGGCATTATTGAGAAAGATGATAATATAGTGAGCCAAGGAAACCCTTTGCTTCATTAAACAAATCCTTGAGTATAAAACCATGCTGATACCCATGACTTCTTGTAAGCATCATGGCTCACAAAGCTATGCTGATTGGATGGAACTAAAGACAGAAGAACTAAGGTAGTAGACAGACATAATGTCATTTGGTGACCTTCAAATCTTAAGATGAAAATAAATCACTCAAAATAATTATTAAAATGAACATTCACCAAATCTGAGAAGGGGGTAAGATTCTGTTCTCCCCCTAATCTCCCATGAGGCCACCATCTGGAAGGATCTGAGATGGGGCCAGAGCCTAGCCAGCTCAAGGGAATGATCCATCAGCCAGGCATTTGACGTCACTTAAGTAACAAATAAACTGACCCTATATCTACTTTTAACAGTTGTATTATTCTTGAAGCATCTCTCCAGTGGTTTTTTATATGACAAATATATGATCAAATCAACACATTCTATAATCTCATAACATTTTTATCCAGTTTTCATTTAGCTTAATATATATTTGTGGACACATTTTTCAGTTAGCAGCAAGTTTGTCTTGACTACACAAATAAATTTTTCTACCAAGAGGAAAAAAAAAAAAACGTAGTTCATTTCTAAACACACTGAGCTTTTATTTCTGAGAACAAGAAAGAAAACTGGCTAGATGCCTGCTGGCTCTTCAGCCTATCAGAATTCTGTGACCATAAATGTCCATGAATTCCCCCCCGACCGAATCTCTGCTTTTTATTTTTATCTTGGGGACATGTATCTTACAGTCCTGTGCCACATACTCTGCCTTTTATGTCTTACTTTTTCCTCTTCTCAAAGAAAAATTTAAGTTCAGTGGATTCTGTCATCTGAAAACCACTTCTTTTATGTCAAAAGGGATTAACTAATTTATATGTAGCTTTTCTATTCTCTTAATAATGCTGCCTAACACATTGAGAGTATTATTATGAACCAGGTATCATTCTTAATGCTTCCTATAAAGATGAGTGCATTTAGTGCTCATAGAAATCCTGTTAGGGGAGTTTTTCATGATGCCCACTGAGTGGAGAACCCAACTCATTCCTCAAGTGAATACACAGTCTTGCTTTAGCCATCCAATAAGTACACTGGAGTTGGGGTTTGCACCAGTGCAGATGCTTCCTGCATTTAATAGTGTGCTGCCATCTTGCGCTAACACACACTAATTAATTTGGCAGTCACTATTTGTAAACCTTTTACATGTATTATCTCATTTAGTTCTCACACTGCATGTATAAGGAGAGACTACCTTTTCTGCTTCAGACAAAGACAAGTAGTTTGAAATTTTGGATCAGTGAACAGAATAAAAATAAACACATGAAATTTCAAGAGGAAATAAGTCTGCTTGAGTTGTGCTACCTGACCATCTTCTGAGCCCACAAGATAAGTCAATATCTTTTCTATGTTTTTCAGTCTCTACTAAGTATCTTGGAAATGTCATGAAAGGGGACACTGTAGTGTCTACTATTGAGCCTTGCCAGGAGTTTCCTACATTTTTTTTGTACACAGAAGATGTGAAAGGAGGACAAATACCTGAACTTACCTTTGCTGTGACTCCATGGATCCAACTGGCAAGTGATTGTGAAGTCAGAATAAAGTAGATGTCTAGCAAATTACATAATAAAATGGTTCCTGCCTTGTCTGGTTGAATTGGGTTTGGATTTTCTCCTGATTCTTTTATAGCAATATGAAAAGATTATATCTATGCTGACATTCCTCCATGTTTCAGGATTTATAGATGTACTTAAACAATGTTATCATCAACAATTAAGGGGAAAAACAGAAATTAGCCTTAACATGTGAAATTAACCTTCTTGTTCCCTGTGTATCACAGACTTTGCCATCTACACCTAGCGGAGTCTAGTTTCATCCCACAAGAAGTAGCATACATTGTAAAGGCTCTGACAAGAATTTGGCCAGACTCTTACCCTCCTGGATGTTGGCATTTTCTCCTGGTGAATGTCTCCTTTGAAGTCAAGAAGGAGCTGGTCTGTGATTAATCACAGGCCTCATTCTGAAGAGCCAAGGCTGGCAAAGCACCACACTGCTGTAGAGCTTAGAAATTCTGTGGTTCCAGTTTTCCCTTCCCTTTCTGTTAGCTCTCACTTTCCTTCCTCCCAATCTACCCTCTTGGACCAACTCTACATGCACATACATGTCAATATAACCTATTAGAACCAACATGGAATCCATTATGTGAGCTCTACCTTTCCCTCTCCCTTTTCCCTTTCTCTCCCTCTTCTTACCCCCTTTCTTCTCCTTTCCTCTCTCCCTTCTTTGTACCTCACCCACCTGTCTTGATACACTCTCTCTTTCTCTCTCCCTCTTTTCCTCCCCACCTATCTTTTAGATCTATCAGTACAGCAAAAAGAGAGAAAGACAGGGAACTTTTTTTTATTAATCATACAACAACTGAAACACAAACACTTTTGGTATCTTCAGTTTCCAAAAATAAAAAATAAAAAGGTGTTTGTTCTTCTGGTCACAATTCTGCTCTGTATTTAACATTTTCCTTTTAGGCATTTAGCAATCTTCCCTAACCCCAAATGTTCACATTTTAAAAAGTCAGAGGCAATAACCTGGTTTTCTCTTGCTAGTTTTTATTTTATTAAGCAATGACTTAACACATTGGTTTTACTTTCAGTTCAGTTGATATTCCAATGTGATATCACAGCCTGTATTAATAATGCTGTGAAACACTAATTATGTGTTAGATAGTACACTAAACTATCTAAATAATTATCTCATTTGGTTTTCAAAATAGCCATATTATCTTCCTCACTGAAAAGATGTGGTTGGCAAAAGCAAGTAAATTGCCAGCACTGGTGGCTCATGAACGAGATCTTTGCTACTTTGGAGACTGAAAGCATGAAGATCAACATTAAAGGCCAACAGGGAAGAAAAGTTTGAAATCCTAGTTCAAAAACAACCAACATAAAAACAGAGCTGGATATGTGGCTTAGTCATAAGAGTGCTAGCTTAGCAAGTGAGAAGCTCTGAATTCAAATCTCAGTACCATTACCAGCAAAAAAAAAAAAAAAAAAAAAAAAATATATATATATATATATATATATATATATATATATATATACTGCCCAGAATCAGTTCAGCTAACTATAAACAATGAGCTTTAGAATCCTGACCATTATAACAGTCAGCTGTTTGTGGCACACCCTGTTCTTGTCAATCACTGAGAATATTACTGTAAAGAGGGCCCACATTCCACATATTTTCTGACCCTACAACATCAGAACACTGTTTCTAAAAATTCTTCCTAATTAGGAAGAAAGGGGTGTGTTTGATCAGTCTTAAATGAGCTATAGTCAGGTGGAATTCCCAGAAATATTTTTATTACTTGGTAACTGCTATCTGATCTATCTGCCCGAGAGAAACTATCACTGAAAGATCACCAGCCTGTAATAAATTACATTTAATGACAATTGCTTTATCTAAAGCTTCAAACCATTGGGCAGAACTTTAATTTCTATCTCACTTTTAATATCTAAAGTATCTAACTTAAAGCACAAACTCTTGAGACATCTATTTTGGGGAAAATACCAACATGTTTTTTTTCTATTTGTCATTATTTCTAGTTGAGAGCTTGGTTTCTTTACCAAAAAGTTAATGTCTGGCTTAATCTCACTTTTAAAATTTAGGAATCTAACGCTGGGTGCCAGTGGCTCATGCCTGTAATCCTAGCTACTCAGGAGACTGAGATCTGAGGATCACGGTTCAAAGCCAGCCTGGGCAGGAAAGTCCATGAAACTCCTATCTCCAATTAACCACCATAAAACCAGAAGTGGCGCTGTGCTCAAGTGGTAGGGCACTGGCCTTCAACTGATGAGCTGAGGAACAGTGCCCAGGCCCAATTTCAAGCCCCACCACTGACACCCCCCCACCCTGCCCCCGCTCAAATGTAGGAATCTAAAGCTCTGAAGCTACATAGTCATAGAAATATGTAAAACACGCAGGTAAATATGACCACTTATACCTTTCAATTTGGGGCTTGGCAAAGACTTTGAACTACAAGATGACCTTTTAAAAGAGGCATTGGTTTAATAGCAAAAATGAATATACATGTTATTGAAATGTCTATAAATTAATAGGAATTTGGAGTTTGTCTATTTGAAACACCTTGACCCTGAAAAAAGCATGACCCAGGTGAAAAGATTTCTGGTATGTGGAAGCAGGAGGAAGGATAAAATCACATCCTACATAGGGACTAACACCCTGCCTCATGTTAGGGAGGGACTGATAAAGTAATAATCTGAATAAAGCAATAGGATTTTCTTTATGAAAGAAAAGGATGAGACAATTTCCTTCCATGAAAGAAAGGACGGTTCCACAATTTTCTCTCTGGCAACTTCTGAGACTGCCTAACTACTTTCCCCATTAGGACAGTGTCCTTCTTGTCTCTCTTAAAGCTGTTCAGAGAGTGATAGTAACTTAGAGATCCCCAAGGGCAGCAATCTATTGAAGATAGGATAGGGATTTCCAAGGCCAGTCTTCATGGGCTCCATTTCCAAACAGTCTCAGAAATTACTCCAACATAGAACTGCTGGTTCTACAGGAAGTGGGGCATGAATTGTGTGGGACCTTCTAAACAAAAGGAAAAATCCAAAAAAAAAGAGAATTAAAAGCTAAATTATTTTTGGAAAGGCTAAAAGCTTACCAAATTTGCTGTTAAAATCAGAATCTAAAGCTGAGCGCCAGTGATTCAAGCCTGTCATACTAGCTACTTGGGAAGCTGAGGTCAGGAGAATCAAGGTTCAAGGCTCAGGCTGGCCTTGAACTTTTCTCAGATAATACCTAGATGCCATATTCTTTGTGCTGAAGATCAGACACTAGCGGAATCTAAAGTTCTCTGCTGTTACATGTAAGCAGTTGAGGAATTTGCTTCATTTTTCATTGGAATGGTCAATCTGTAAGTAGTTCTTCAGGGTAGCCTTCCAATTCTGGCTTGAATTAACTATTGGGAAGACAAGGAGGGCAAATATCAATTTTGGTTGTTTCTAGGTTAGTTATGACACAAAAGCAGGAAGAGGGATGATGCAGAAACTGCTGAAGCTATGATGTACTATGGCTCTTGTTTGTGTTCTAGTTATGCTTTTGAAAAAATATTTGAAAGTAAAATAATACTTGAAACTGTATTTTGTCAAATAAGGACCAAAAAATGGAATCAAAATATCTAGAAAGAAAAATATTCATCAGATGATAGGATTTAATCCTAAATATCTACCAGCTTGGATTTGAGGACGTACTTCTGCTACCCATCCCTAGCATAGTATATTTACCCCAACACTCAGCTGTGAACTAGCATTTAAATGGGCCATGTTGACAAAGAATGAGACAGCATCAGATGGCTTCCTCTACTGACACCCTTTCCAAAACTTTCTATATGGAATTTGCTCATTTTATGTTTCAAGTTTTACTATTTCATCAAGTTAACTCTTTATAGATGGAAAGCAATCCAGTGATCATGTAGTGTGTATGCTTGGAGGTGAGATACCCTTCAAAGTAGCTGAAGTTGTGAATTTTAGAAAAAAAAATGAGATCAAGAATCCACCCATCTTCTCCAGTTAAGTTACTCTAGAAATCCTTTCAGTCTAAATACACAGTGGACCTAATGTCATTTGAAAGTTAATACTCCATTATCCTAGTAGATGGCTTTTTTAATGGACCAAGGTAAAAGAAAACCATGTTTGTCTTTGTATGGTAAATCTCAATGTCAAACATGAGTTCAGACACATTAAACATTTATATAAATACAAAATGGAGAATTGTACAGCCTTATACATTGTCTATTGCTGGCCTATTCTAATACAATTTTAATATTCTTGTTCAATGTCTTTCTTCCTACCACCTAGCACTAACTGGAGATGTGTTTAGTTATAACTAGATATGGTCAGATAATCCTAGCTCTGATAAATTCACGTCTTCTCCGATGAGCAATTACCTGAGCTTTAATATGGCTAGATAAAAATGGAGATAAGGGGGCTGGGAAGGTGGCTCAGTAGTAGAGTGCATGCCTTGCATACCAGAGGCCCTGGCTTTGATTCCTTAGTACCATATAAGCAGAAAAAGCCAGAAGTGAAATTGTGGCTCAAGTGGTAGAGTGCTAGCCTTGAGCTGAAGAGCTGAGGGACAGCGCCCAGGCCCAGAGTTCAGGCCTCATGACTGGACCCAAAAGAAAAAAAAATGGAGATAGGGATAAAAATGTAGCTCAGTAATAGAGTGCTTGTCTAGCATTCATGAGGTGCTGGGTTCAATTCCCAGCACCATCAAAAAGAGAAAAAGGGTCCAAAAGTGAAACTAGAAATCAAGGTATAAGGTGCACATTTGCTGCCTTCAAAGAGAATCCATCAAAGAGAACAATCAAATCAACAAGACTTTACTCTGACTTCAAGTGTTTTGTGTGGGATAGAATAAGAAGCAGAGACTGAAGAGATGCTTCTTGGAGAGACAGACTCACTTGAACAGTGCAATGACTTCATCTTTCAGTAAAGGAAGAATTGATGTGGACCTTGATGTGGAAACATAAGGGTCAGAAGACATTTCCAAGCATCAGATTCTGAATTTTTAACTTTTAAAACACAGTGAATTAATGAACTGCTAGAACATTGGGAGCTGCTCAATCTCATATAAATTTA